TTGTCTCTGTGATGAGAACAGTAAAACATCAGGACTTTGTCCCAAAATGGAAAAAAAAAATAGTTGGGTATGTAGTTCAGTGCTCAGAGTTCAATCCCCAATACCACAAAAAATAAATGGTGTTTACTACAAAGAAAATACGTGGGAAAACAAGATATTTCAAGAAAACATATTCTTGTATTTTGAAAAATTAAAGGGCCCAGTGAATACTTAATTAAATGAATGAAAACAGATCCACACATCATTTGAAATGTAAAACACAGAAACCAAAGTATAGAATCTATAAATTTACGAAGAGGTGAAAAAAACATATACCTGAAGGATTAAGGGGTCACAATGGCTTAGAATTCTCAGTAGCAACACAGGAAGCAAGATGACAATGGAGCGACAGCTTCAAAACTCTGGACTTTTTTTTTTTTTTTGTCTTTTTCCTTTTTATCGGTACCGGGGATCTCTGAGGGAAAAGCACTTCCAACCATAACTAACACCAGCCACCAAAATTATCGTCAGGTATGAGGACAGAATTAAAACACCTTCAGATATGCAAGGACTCCAACAAAGGTAACTCATTCTAGATACTACTGGAGTTTCAGCACTACAGACAGTAAAATCAATAAAAAAGGATGCAGGATCCAGGAAAGACCAACAGGAGAGCTAAAAAGAAGCTAATGGCCAGCTGGGTGGAAGATAACTAGGCCAGCCTGAAGCACTGTGTCCAGCTGTGGTTTACCTGAGATCTGACACCACAATGGGGCCCAGATCCCTATCTGTCCTGGGCAGGGGCTGCCTTATCTTTCTTGATCACCTGCAAGCCAAACCGCCTGTAAGCCCTGCACCCTGCAATTAGCAGCACTCCTGCACTTTCCTCACCCATATATTTGGCTTTGACCTTCCTTGATGATAACTGCAGGTAGGAAATGGTGAGTCCAGGAGCAGGAATGCAGGGTGACCCACTATCCTAACCCTCTTTCTGCTGTTCTTCCACTACTTGGTTCCCTCTAGAACTCTCCGTATGAACCCCATTGCTTGAACTCCCTCCTAACACCACCCAGCCTCCTCAGAAAGGCTTCATCTCTTCCTGGAAGCCTTTATCTATCAGTGACAAGCGTCCTCCCCTTGTATAACTAGTTAGAAGTTATGATTATACAAACACTGAATCCCACATTTGAGAAGCTCTTCTATTTTCTACTAAGCCTGTTTGGCCTTTATCTGTGTTCTAGGGGACAGAATTTTCTGTTAATAATCACTGTTAATAAAGATGCAAATAATTTACAGTCTTAAAAGGTTTACTATAGAAATTAACAAGGTATTTTATAGCTTGGTAGAGAACATTAATCCCAAAATATTATGCTTTTGTTGTCCTGTAAAACATTAACCTGATATAACTAATTTAGCCATCTCTTTTATTTTTTATTTTTGGCAGTACAGGGGATTGAACTCAGAACCTCACGCTTGACAGGCAGGCGCTTATGCTGCTGAGCTAAATCCCCAGCCCTAGCCATCTCTTTTAGCAGGCAGTATTGGGGACTGAACCCAGAATATTCACACTGAGTTACAACCCCAGCCCATTTTCTATTTTCTGTTTTATGACAGTCTCATCAAGTTGCCCAGACTAGGCCAAATTTGCAGTATTCTTAGGTCAGCATCCCAGAGTGCTGGGATTATAGGTATGTGTCATCACTCTCAGCTAATTTAGCACTTTTATAGAGATATACCTTTCCCCCTATGGACTATGTGTCTATTCCTTTAGTTCTCTTAAAACCAACTCTAATGCACCTTGAAACCATTTTCTTAAGTGAAATAAATCAGACACACATGTAACTATATCATTGTTTCTCTGGTGTGAGAAACTGAAAATGTAAATAAGAACCAAAGTATATAATAGACACTGTGAAGTAGAAATTATTCAAAAGGGAAAGGGAACTGGAGGTGAGAAAAAGAAAAATTAAAAAAAAAGGATAAAATGGAAACAAAGCTTTGTAAATAAGAGAAGACAGGATGAAGGGAAGGGAGGGGAGTGGGAGAAAAAAAGGAACTAAGATATATCATATACAGGTACAAATTCTCTGATGAATGTGATCATTATGTATATATCAGCTATGAACTTAATTTTTTAAAAAAACAGCTCTGGGGGATGGGGATTTAGCTCAACGGCATAAGCGCCTGCCTCACAAGCAGGCAGTGGTGAGTTTGATCGCCAGGACCGATTTATTAAAAAAAAAAAACCTCTGTTTTTTATTATTTATTTATTTATTTTTGTACCAGGGGTGAACTCATGGCCTTGTACTTCACAGGCAGGTGCTTGTGCCTCTGAGTTAAATCCCTGGCTAGCTCTATATTTCTCAATAGCAGTTAAATAAAAACCTAGAAACATGATATCTGTATGGAATTTTTCTTACTTTTTTTTTTTTTTTGGTGGAACCAGTGATTGAACTCACAACCTTGCACTTACCAAGCAGGCTCTTATGCCTGCTGAACTAAATCCGCAGCCCCTCTTGCATGGAAATTTTAACACTACTTATTTAAAACTATACTATTTAGGATATAGGGATGTGTATTTGTGCACTTATGACTATGTGTGTGTATATATATATATATGTATACATACACATAAATATATACATAATTTGTAAAGCTTTTTTCAAAAGCAAGAAAAAAATTAACACAAAAATCAGGATAAGGGCTTCCCTCAAAAAAAAAAAAATGCGAGCATTTTCTTTGTTAATCTCTTATGAGGGGCTGGAGATTTAGCTCAGCGGCATAAGCACCTGCCTTGCAAGCAGGCAGTCGTGAGTTCGATCCCCGGTACCGATAAAAAGGAAAAAGACAAAAAATAAAAAAATTTTAATATATGATCCATACATTTTTGATAGTTGAAATACATTTTGCAATGAAAAAAATAATTGTTTTAAAAAGAATAAGTGTTTCCGCTATCATTGGACACTGATGGAGATTGCCACAGATCAGAATGAATACAAAATATGTCTGTTCACATTTTCTCTTCCTCAAAGCATCCTCTATTTATTCCTGCCAATCAAATGAGGCAATATAACTGTACGATCAACACCACTGAGTAGTAACAAGGTTAATAAATTTGCTGCTATTTAACAAAGTACTCCAAATTTTTTCCGATGCAGACTCTCAGTATAAATGGACATACAGATCCCAAGAATATATTCAGCAGCTGTCTTCAAATTATAAACTTTTGTAAATAACAAAAAGAACCATTCTGAAACAAAACCCTACTAAAGTATAATAAGGTATGGAATCTACATCAACCATCCTTTTTTGGTTTGGTTGGTTTTCCTCTTGTTTTTTTTATTTAAACCATCTTATGGTGTCTAAAGTTTTTTCAGACAAGGCTTCAATGGCTAAAATCCAGAAACGGTCAAACTTCCATGAGAAAAGACCAAAAAACCTAATAGTATATCAAAGCAATGGTATACTATGCATCTTTAAAATGAGGTTCATAGGGGGCTGGAGATTTAGCTCAGTGGCATAAGCGTCTGCCTTGCAAGCAGGCAGTCGTGATTTCGATTCCTGGTACCGATAAAAAGGGAAAAGACAAAAAAAAAATGAGGTTCATATATAACAAGAAACGTTTGCAGGGGGTAGCGGCACACGCCTATAGTCCCAGCACTCTCCCAAGGCAGGAAGACAGCAGGACGAGAAAGACAAAAACAAACAAACAAAAAAAACCAGAGAGAGAGAGAGACATTGATAAGAAATCTGTCATTTTTATGTCAGTTACCAAACGATATACTACGTTCCCCTTCTCTGGAATGGAACTGGCAATATTAAAATATGAAGAACCACGAAAACCAATGCTTTTTGATACATTTATGCACCGTTTATTTTACTTGCTATTCTTTTGTAATGTTTTGATTGCTTTACATCTCAATTGTCTATTGTTTGAAAAGGCAGAGGAGGATAAAACAAGATACATTCTTTACCTTGGACACCGGAGATGAATTCAGAAAAGATCAGCTAGGAAGGACTGCTGGAAAAGATCAGCTAAGGAAGGACTGCTGGAATCCTAAGTGGTACAGGAGGAAGTGGGAAGAATGTGTTTCCGTAAGACGAAAAATACATCCTCACCCTGCTCCAGTTACACCTGCTTCTTCCTCAAGGTATCAATATTCAAACTTTTGGTTTCCATCTTAAGATCGAAGAGCCTTCCAACACCACACTAGGTTAAAATGTTTTTATGCGTCCTTTTTCTGGAAACTTAAGGAGGTTGGAAAGAGGAAACAAGATGAGGAAAAACAAAGGTGACAAGCCTGGGAGGCAGCGCCACTGGAACCGCCAGGAAGTGGGATTCCCAGTAGGAGCAGGAGTCAGAGTCGGAGAGAAGCGGAGAGAGGATGCAGATTTCATCCCCAACGCCCGGGCGGCTCAGACCCCGCCCCTCCTCCCCTCGCCACAGCACAGCGCGGCGGGAACCGCGCACCCCAGCGCAGCTTCGGGAAAGGTCACAGATTTGCCCGTTTATGCCTGAAACGGCCTTGCTCGCAAAGACTCTGCTCTAAAGACACACGGGGTCAACGCCGCGCTGCTCCTCGTCGTAAAAGACACTCCACACTCAAGGTTTATTTCTCCCTCTTCCCCCCCCCCCCGAGTCTGCGCGTGACGGAGTCAGGAAAGCCCACCGAGCACGCACAGATCCCCGGCAAGGACTCGGGGCGCCCGGAGGGTTCGTCCTCTCCCGTGCCGTCGCCCCAGACCCCCAAAGCGGTCACCTGAAAACCTCTCCGGGTTCTGAAAGAAAGCGACCCAGGCCGAGTCTGAGGCAGGTGCAGGCCCGCCTCCCCGACCCCCGCAGGTGGGGGTCAAGCCCGCGCCAGGGCAGCGGTCGCCCGAGTGGCGCCGGGCGCCCCGGGCCGCGCCGCGCCTCGCCGCAGCACCCCGAGGGATTGGCCCGGCCCGTGGGAGGCACTTTCCCATGCCCAGGCGTCGGCGCGAGATCCCTCACGCCTCCCAAGCCAGCCAACCGCACTCACCGAGGTTTCTCTGATGCCAGCGCCGACTCCCGGGCGCGGGAGGCAGGAGGAGGTGGCCGCGCTGTAACCCGGCCGGCGTATTCTCCTCAAGCCAGGGAGCCGCCTGCGGGTTTCTGGAGCTAGGCGTGGGCGCCGGTGGGGCGGAGTGAGACGCCTTGTGAAAGGCAGCAACCAATCATCGCACAGCAAGTGGCCTGTAGGGGGCGTGGCATGTCTCAGAGGAGGGGCGAGAGGCCAGGAGGCGGTACTAAAGCGTTGCGGAGCGAGGCGCGACGCGGTGCACTCCGCGGTGACCAATCGCCGTGAAGTGACGGCAATGGGTGGGGCTCCTGGGGACGAGGTGGGCTGCATGGGCTCTAAGGGCCTTAGGAGCGGTGGTCCGGAGACCACGCCTTGCGAGCGGCGGTGGTGTAGACCCTGTAGTTGGTCCACAGTCGCCACCTTCGACCTCGCACCGCAGCCTCGCTGCACGCGGACTTCACGTACAGCATCTATGAGCTGACCCGCGCGGGGCAGCCCACGCCTACAGTAGGATTGGGTCTCCTTTGCCTATTGGCCCTGTAACGACTCTGCCTGCTGCGGGATAGGGTCTGTGCTCGGACAATGGTCTCAGATACCAAGGAACTTTAGCTGTGCCTTGCTGTAAACCCCGATACCAAGGAACTTTAGCGATGCCTTGCTGTAATCCCCGCTGTACAAACAGCACTGACGAGGTTGAAGCAGGAGGATCGCGGTGAGTTCGAGGCCTCAGGAACCTAGTGAGTTCAAAACCCTAACCCAGGGGCTGGGCATTTAGCTCAGCGGCATAAGCACCTGCCTTGCAAGCAGGGGATCCTGAGTTCAACCCCCGGTACCGATGAAAAGAGGAAAAAAAAAAAACAAAAAAAACCCTTAACCCTGTCTCTAAAAGAAAAGGAAGAAGGCCGGGGTTAGGACCTGTGTTTGCTCTCCAGTCCCCACTTTCCCCCCAAAAAAGAAGGAGGAGGAGGTGGAGAGGGAGTTGGAGGGGGAAGAAGAAGAAAGAAAAGAGAAAAAGCGAAAAGAAAAAAAGGGGCCAGGGACTCAAGCGCTTGCCTGGCAAGCCTGAGGTCATGAGTTCTGGCCTGAAGATTATTTTTATATCTCTCCACTCAAATTTTTAGCTTTCTCAGAGCCACTTGTCTCTCTGCGTTTCTCCTTTAAAGATATATAGCCTCTTGGCCAGGGATATAGTTCAGTGGCATAAGTACCTGCCTGGCAAGCCCATGGTCGTGCGTTTGATCCCTGCTACTGAAAGGGTTTTGGCCCACATGGGACACTGTAGCCAGGAAAGTCTCAGCCAGAACCAGGAAGCTCCTATCCCCGCCCCCCCCCCCCCCAGGGATTTACCTTTCTATCTCCCCACACCCTTAGGAATCTTAGGCGCCAAACTAGTGCCAGTGGGCTACCTGTACATCCCTAATGCCCCCTCAGGCACAACCCCTAACCTAAGCTACATATAGGCCCCGACTCCACGTGTTCCACGGAGAGATCGCTGACTCCGGGGTGGAGATGCTGCACCCCAGGGGATGGGGTGTCTCTCCCCGCATTCTCAAAATAAAGGTCATTTATATTTCATACTTCTTATCTTTTCAGCCACCACCGGTCCCCCACAGTTCTATCAGGTACCTAAAACAAAATAATAATAATAAAAATAAAGATATGGCCTCTTGAATTTTCAGCATAACTTAACTAGCCTTTGGAGGTCCTAAATTTCCTACAGAATACAAAATCAGATTTCAGGTTTTGGGAAAAAAAAAATAACACTGTTTAAGCACTGATACACCCAAACCTAGATCATATTGTGATAGCTCGGACCCCAGAACAAAACCCAAGGAAGCAAGAAATTAAAATTTGGGGAGCAAAGGCTTTATTTTAGGGCTGGCCTGGCATCACAGTCTGCAAGAGCCAATTTGGAGACTGTGCACCTCACAGCAAAAGGCAGTGACTTATAAAGCAAAAAACCCCAGGAATGCTGTTGCTATTGACACAATTAGATTACAGCTGGCAGCTGGACCTTACAGAACTTTCTATAATTTCCTGAGGTTAATCATTTCTTTTTTTTTTTTTTTTTTTGTCTTTTTCATTTTTATGGAGAACCCTCAGAAAACAAACCAGAATTACTGTATGATCCACTTCTACCACTCCTAGGTATACACCTGCAGGAAGTGAAATCAGCATAAGAAAGAGTCACCCACTGTACCCAAGTCTATTTCAGCATTGTTCACAATTGCCAAGTACCCAGTCAGCCTAGGAGTGTGTCCCCAGAGGACTGGCTGGAGAAAGTAAAGTGTATATGTATACAATGGAGTATTTATTCAGCCATGAAAAACAGAACCCTGTCATTTGCAGAAAAAAAAAATGGTTTAAACAGCAGGACATCAGTTTGATTGATATGTCAGACACAGAAACACAAGAGTTATGGCTTATATTCCCCCACACTGGGCATGGTGGCCCATGCTTGTAATTCCAGCACTCAGGAGGCCGAAGCAGGAGGATCCCTGTGAGTTCAAGACCAACCTAGGCTATTTAGTGAATTTAAATCCAGCCTGAACTGCATAGTCAAACCCTGTCTCAAAAAAAGACTAAACAGGGACTGGGGAATTAGCTCAGCAGCATAAGCGCCTGCTTTGCAAGTGCATGGTCGTGAATACAATCCCCGGTACCAATTGAAAAAAAAAAGAAAAACAAAGCATATCCCCCAAAGTCCTCATGGGCTCATAGGTGGGCTTTTGGAAGGTTACTGGATCTTGGGGATCCAGCTGCAGCTGACTGGCTGTTAGGAGGTGGGTCCTGAGAAATGTGGGCCACTAGGGGTGTGGCACGGAAGGGTGTCCATCTCCACCTCTTTCCTGCCCCTATGAGGTGAGTGGCCTGCTTGTGGCCTGCAGCCTACCAACCATGGACTGTAATCATGATCCAAAGTAAACCTCTCTTCTTTAAGCTTTGGGTGTCAGGTTGTGTCTCAGCGACAGAGAAAATAACACAAGTATCACATGTTCTCCTTCATATTTGGGAACGGAGAGAGAAAAAGAGGTTCTAGAAGTAGGAGAGGGATATCAGGCCTGGGAAAGAGGACGGGGGAGTAGGAGGAAGAGAGACAAGGTGAAGGTGACCTGTATATAATATGATATGTGCCCATGTGCAAATGTCACAGTGAAACCATATTTAATGCATGATAATAAAACAAATCAGATAAAGTAAGAAAAGGCTTTCTTAAGCAGCCAAAGAACGGAGAAGCAGGAGATTTGCTTGTAAATCAACTTCCCAACTGCAGGGAGCTGTGGGATTACAGACACAGCGCAGGAATAAAAAGGGAGAGGCAGTCATGCATTTCCCACGTATGGGCAGAGCTCTTCCAGACCTGGTGCTGCCCCTTTGGCTCCTTTCACAGTCTGCTGTCCCTGAGATTGGAGGCCATGGTGTCTTCAGCCTTGGAGGGGAAGGAGAGAGCAGAGACAGGTCTAGGTCAAGTAACCCTTGTACTGCAGTTTGGGACAGAAACATTTCTCAAATGGTCAACTTGTCTACATGCAGATCTGAGGAGAATTTGATCCATAAGTTAAGGCAGCAACGGGAACAAACATGGCATGAAAACAGAGATTTCAAGCTTTGTCTTCCAAGGGAGCAGTCAGAATCTCTGGCCAAAGCAGCTTTCAAGTCCCTGAAAAGTAACCTAGGCAACCATTGCCACCTTAACTCACACTGCAGATGTGTTTTTCCCAGTGAAATTGCTGGAAGACTAACCAGTGCACTAAATATGCCAAGACTAAATATGTGAACCTGGTTGCCCTGCTGTGTGGTTGCCAGAATTAGTGATTTTAAAGTCAACTCAAAGCAAGTGAAGCTAGAAGGTTTATTTAGGTTTTCCTTTGGTGTGGGATTACCAGTATGAATCAAACCATTTGACCTAAGGATAAAGTAGAAGATTGTGTCACATAATGATTGTGAACTCATCCTGGGTCATGTTATTCCTAGAAATCTTATGGGTGTCTTGGGTTCTAGGTACTCATAAATGTTTGTTGGACAAACTGTAAAGACAATAAGATTCATTATGACACTCATTCCGGTTGACTATTATCTTCTTTTAAAGCCCTGTAATGTCTCCAATGTTTTGGTTTTATTCTTTACTGTTTTGTTCAATTTTATTATAACTGATGATATAGGCAATTCTTATTAACATAACAAGAGGCAGTATGGTAAACATTGTTAATCACCTAGTATTTTGTTTTCACATTATCTACTATGTTCATCCTTCCGATTTGACTGACTCTGTTCTGTTATGTCACATTTGGTTTTACTCTCTTCAAAAGAAAGTAATAAGATCTGTGGGAGTAATAAAACCCAAAATGTGTAATTGTCATTGTACAAAAGAAAGGAAAAGAAAGTGCTCTAAAGAATATAACTGCATATATATTTAAGTGTATAAGATAGATAACCATATTACTGAGTTTTGTTGGATCATTGAACAGAACTGTTTGCAGTCTCACTGTTTGAAAGTCCACTTTATATGCTTTAATTTTGTAACTTGAACAACTATTTCTAAGATAATAATATGTAATCTATTAACTAGTGATTGCCTCTTGTTTATTTTTTCTGAAATTCTGTATAACTTGTACCCTATTTCTGATTTTTTTCTCCATAATAAAAATAAATAAATAAAATTTAAAAATTAAAAAAAAATGTTTGTTGGACAAATTCCTCTGAAGTACACCACTGTGCCTGCATCCCAGTGAACAGAAGAAAAGGACAGAGAAGAGAACACCTCCACACACACACACCTCTTGCAAACTTGTTGCAGAGGCTGCATGTGCATTTCTGCTTTCATTCTGCTGGTAAAAACTAGTCACTTGACCTGCTAAAGTTGCAAAAGAAAAGGATAGAAAATGTGGTTGCAGAAGGGTATTTAGCTCAGTGGCCTAAGCGCTTGCCTGACAAGTGCAAGGTTGTGAGTTTGGTCCCCAGTACCAAAAAAAAAAAAGTGTGCTTTCAGTGGTACCAAAGAAGAATGGATGTTGGAGGATGATCAGAAGTTTCTACCAGAGGTGTTTGTTTTTGTTTTGTTTAAAACAGTGTCTTGCTCTGTAGTTCAGGCTGGCCTTGAACTCAGAGATCCCCCTGCCTCTGTGTCCTGAGTGCTGGAATTACAGGCATG